ATCATGCCTTTCTCCAGGGCCCAGTTGTTCAAAGCCCGATTAGTGCTAACCCTGGGTTAACTCTTAATAAGACCTATAGAGTTAAWCCTGGATTAGCGCTAATCCAGCTTTGAACAACCCGTCCCAGCATATACGTATGTTCTTTACAACTACTGTCATGTCTATAGACCCCTTGCAGCACGTCCGAATGMAGMTCAATTTGGAAGAMATAACACAGGTTTCCAATTCGCATGAGATTGAAATTCTTTTGTTTTGTTCTCCAAATCGAGCTGCTTTGACGTCACATGCAAGTGGTCTAAGTGGTCTATACCCCYGATACAAACATGCCCATGATCAATTCTTTTTACTCACCCCTTCTTCGTGTAGAAAAGCTATAGTAGATGTTAGCGTGTACATAATWTTCGATGCCTCTCGCTCTGATAAACACTTATGTTTGAGTATTCTATCAAGCAGTTCTCCACCTCGCATTAACTCCATCACCATGTACACGCATTTACCATCATCGTATACCTGAAATCATTAGGTAAAATACGTTAGTTTATCCAGCCAATCAGAAGTGAGTATTCCACTGTTTCTTTCTATTATCCAGTCAATCAGAAGTGAGGAAAGCCGTTGTATATTCATCGGTATCCCACTGTTTCTTTCTATTGTCCAGCCAATCAGAAGTGAGGAAAGCCGTCGTATATTCATCAGTATTCCACTGTTTCTTTCTACTATCCGATGAATATTTCTATGGYGTGGGATAAGATATCAAACTAATAAACTTATACTTTAAAACCTTAACCCCCATAAGGAGCTCTTCCGCGATGTTCGCTCCACACACACTACCATTACATTTTACATTCACTATCAAATGGTTTCCTCTCTGGACCAGTCAAATAGCGAGAATACACACACCATCCAATCAGCCGGGTACGTTTTAAGATCGGAAGCCATTTGTTAGTCAAAGTAAATAACAGGCCTTTTGCAATAGATTGATTATTCAAATATTTTTTGCTGGATTACTAATACCGTATCCAAAACCTTTTGAAAAATACTCTTTTCCCTAATGAAATACTTTCGATTTCAAGATACGAAGCAGTTTAAAGTTTGTTTGCCATCCAGCAGAGCCTTCCCCAAGGGACCTAGAGCTGAATTGATTCGTTACCAAAGTCATATATCAGCACGTGACTGTTTGTTGCAAAAAGCCTATCACACCTCAAGAAATGGCTTAATAGAGAACTTACATCGCGTAAATGAATGATTGTTGGGTGGTGTCCATAGCGTAAAAGAATCTAGAAAAAGAAACAAGGATTAATCATTCCTTTTATATAAGACTAGAATCTTCTATTCGATCTTACTCTAGGACTAGTTACTTCCTAATGATTTCTACTTCCGGTAGATCTTTCCTTGTAACTTCTTCTTCCGTTTGCTAACCACTTCCTGTCAAAATGCACTTCCTTTTTACTGAGACTGCTTGTTGCTACTCCTAACGAAGTAGATTTTTTCTTGTTGTTTAATGAATTAATTACGGCATCAATATTTTTGATTGTTTGGTTTTGTTTTTGGTTATTGTTTTGTTTTGTTTTTGTT